CTGTTCAAAAGCTTTTAAGTTTAATTAGATCCCATTTGTTTATTTTTGCTTTTATTTCCATTATTGCAGAAGCTGGTTCAAAAAATATATTGCTGTAACTTGTGTCCAAGAGTGTTCTGCTTGTGTTTTCCTCTAGGAGTTTTATAGTATCTGGTCTTACATTTAAGTCTTTAATCTATTTTGAGTTTATTTTTTTAATATGGTGTTAGAGAATATTTTGACTTCAGTCTTCTACAAGTAGCTGTCCAGTTTTCCCAGCACCACTTATTGAAGAGACTGTCTTTTCTCAATTGTATATCCTTGCCTCCTTTTTTGTAAATTAATTGGCCATAAGTGTGTGGGTTTATTTCTGGAACTTTCTATCCTGCTCCATCCATTGATCTATGTGTCTGTTTTTTTGTGCCAGTACCATACTGTCTTGGTTACTGTAGCTTTGTAGTATTGTCTGAAATCAGGGAGAATGATTCCCCTAGCTCCATTCTTTTTCAAGATTATTTTGGCTATTTGGAATCTTTTGTGTTTCTGTACAAATTATAACTTGTTTTGTTCCAGCTCTGTAAAAAAAAAATGTTGGTAATTTGATAGGGATTGCATTGAATCTGTATATTGCCTTGGGCAGTATGGCCATTTTAACAATATTAATTCTTCCAACCCAACAACATGATATATCTTTCCATTTGTTTATGTTATCTTTATTTCATGAGTGCCTTACAGTTTTGGGAGTACAGGTCTTCTGCCTCCTTGGGTAGGTTTATTCTTAGTTTTTTTGTTCTTTTAGGTGTGATGATGAATGGTATTGTTTCCTTAATTTCTTTTTCTGTTATTTCATTGTTAGTGTATAGAAATGCAACTGATTTCTGTATATTGATTTTGTATCCTGCAACTTTACCAAATTCATTGATGAGTTCTAGTAGTTTTCTGGTCAGTTCTTTAGGGTTTTCTAAGTAGCGTAACATGTCATCTGAAAATCGTGACAGTTTTACTTTTTCATTTCCAATTTGGATTCCTTTTATTTCTTTTTCTTCTCTGATTAACAGCTAGGACTTCCAAACCTGTGTTGACTAAAATAGCGAGAGTGGACATCCTTGTCTAGTTCCTGATTTTAGAGGAAGTGCTTTCAGCTTTTCCCCATTGAGTATGATGTTAGCTGTTCATTTGTCATGTATGGCCTTTATTAGGTTGAGATATGTTCCATCTGTGCTCACTTTCTGGAGAGTTTTTATAACATACGGATGTGCTTATCAAAAGGTTTTTCTGCATCTATTGAGATGATCATATGGTTTGTTGCTCTTCAATTTGTTAATGTGGTGTATTACATTGATTGATTTGTAGATATTGAAAAATCCTTGCATCTCTAGGATAAATCCCACTTGATCATGGTGTATGATCCTTTTAAGGTATTGTTGAAGTCAGTTTGCTAGTATTTTGTTGAGGGTTTTGCATCTGTATACATAAGTGATACTGGCCTGCAATTTTCTTCTTTTGTGGTATCTTTGGGTTTGGTATCAGGGTGATGATAGTCTCATAGAATGAGTTTGGAAGTGTTCCTTCCTCTTCAATTTTTTTTTGAGGGGGGGGGATAGTTTCAGAAGGATAGGGGCTAACTCTTCTCCAAATGTTTGGTAGAATTCACCTGTGAAGACATCTGGTCCTGGATTTTTGTTGGGAGTTTTAAAATTACTGATTCAATTTCAGTACTGGTATTTGGTCTATTCATATTATCTATTTCTTCCTGGTTCAGTCTTGGCAAACTGTACCTTTCTAAGAAATTGCCCATTTCTTCTATGTTTTCCATTTTGTCGTCATATAGTTGCTCATAGTAGCCTCTTATGATCCCTTATATTTCTGTGGTATCAGTTGTAACTTCTTTTTCATTTTTTATTTTATTAATTTGGGCCCTTTCCTTTTTTCTTGATGAGTCTGACTAAAAGGTTTATCAGTTTTATCTTTTCAAAGAAACAGCTGTTAGTTTCACTGAAGTTTTCTATTTTTTCAGTCTCTATTTCATTTCTCCTCTAATCTTTATGATTTCTTTTCTTCTACTAATTTTGGGTTTTGTTTGTATGTCTTTCTCTAGCTGCCATAGGTGTAAGATTAGGTTGTTTACTTGAGATTTTTCTCATTTCCTGAGGTAGCCTTGTATTGTTATAAACTTCACTCTTAGAACTGCTTTTGCTGTGTCCCAGAAGTTTGGAGATCATTGTGTTTTCATTTTAATTTGTCTCAAAGTATTTTTTTTAATTTCCTCTTTGATTTCTTCAGTGATCCATTGGTTGTTTAGTACATTATTTACCCTCCACATGTTTCCAGTTTTTGCAGTTTTTTTTTCCCTTGTGGTTTATTTCTAACCTTATAGCATTGTCTCCCACAGAGGGCCACTTCTCCAAGGTTGAGAAATGTAACTAACCTACCTAAAAATACAAATAGAAAGATAGACAATATGAGGCAGAGAAGTATCTTCCAGGCCAAGGAAGAACAAAATCCCAGAAGAACTAAGTGATGAGGAGATAGGCAGTTTATCTGAGAAAGAGTTTAGAGGAATGATGGTGAAGATTCAGAGAATTCAAGAGGAGTATAGATGCACAGAGCAAAGTTTTTAGCAAAGAGTTGGAAAATATAAAGAATACCCAGAGCTGAAGAATAAAGTTACTGAAATGAATACCACACTAGAAGGAACCAAGAATAGACAAAATGAGGCAGAAGAATGGATTGGTGAGCTTAAGACAGATTAGTGGAACTCTCCAGCAGTACCCTCCTCTCTTGTCACCCAAGGGCCGGTGTCTAGCCAGTCTCAGTGTAGAGTCTGGCCTGTATTTGTGGATTCCTTCCACAGGCTTTGGGATTGTTTTCTTATTTCTGATATCTGCCCCCTGATGGATGAGGCTTATGCAGGTTTCCTGGCAGGAGGTGGTGCCTTCCCACTACTGTGTGAAGATTGGTGCTGGACCTCTGGTGGGTAGGGGCAGGTCTAGAGGCATTTGTGGCTCAGGAAGTCTGATGGAGGGGCTGTGTTCCCACCAGTATGTTGTTGGCCTGAGGATTCCCAGCCCTTAAGCCTACTGGCTGCTGGGTGGGGCTAGGTCTTGATGTTAATAATCCAATCAAAATGTCAGCCTCCAGGAAAGCTAAACACTCCTGGAATGTAGATAAATGCTCCTGGAATGTGCACTACCAGCTTTTATGTCCCCTGTATGAGCTGCAGCTGTCCCCTACCTCCAGGAGACCTTCCAAAGCCAGCAGGCAGGTCTGGCCCAGGTTCCTATGAAATCACTGCCTCTGCCTTCAGACCTTTGCATGAGAGATTCTATGTGTACTTCCCAAGAGAATGAAGTCTCTTCCCCAGTCCCATGGGACTCCTGGAGTTAAGCCCCACTGGCCTCCAAAACCAGATGTCCTGGGGTCTCCTCCTCCCCATGCCGGAACCCTGGGCTGGGGAGCCTGACATGGGGCTCAGAACTCACTCCTGTGGGAGGGCCTCTACGACTTAATTATTGTTCAGCTTTTAGGTGGCCCACCCAGGGGGTATGGGGACCGATTATATCATGAGCACACCCCTCCTACCAGCCCGCTGTGGTTCCCTCTTTATGTTTCCAGTTGAAGAAGATCTTTTTTGCTAGGTTCCTTTTTTTTGATGGTTGTTTAGCACTCAGTTGTAGTTCTGTTGTAGTCGAGAAGAGATGTGAGCTCATGGTCCTACTACTCTTCTCATCTTGACCGGAAATCTCAAATGCATTTTAAATACCTTGCATTTGTATTCTCCCCTCACAATGACTGTTTTTGATACCATATTTTAACACTTAATTGTTTTGTGTATCCTTAACTGCTTATTGTGGATACAGGTGATTTTTACTATTTTTGTCTCTTAACCTTCCTCCTAGTTTTGTGTGACTTCTTAGCTTTATTGAATGTTTTGCCTTTACCAGTGAGATTTTCCATTTTGTTTCTAGTTGTGGCCTTTTCTTTTCCTCCTACAGAAGTTGTTCCTCCTAGATAAGTTCTTTTAGTATTTGTTATAAAGCCTGTTCACTGGTGCTGAATTCTTTGAGCTTCTGCTTGTCTGTAAAGCTTTTGATTTCTCCATCAAATTTGTATGAGCGCCTTGCTCGGTGGAGTATTCTTGCTTGTAGGTTTTTCACTGTCATCACTTCAAATATATCATGCCCGTTCCTCCTGGCCTGCAGGGTTTCTGCTGAAAAATCAGCTAATAGTCTTATGGGAGTTCCCTTGTATGTTGTTACTTTTCCCTTATTGCTTCTAACGTTCTCTTTAATTTTTGCCATTTTAGTTATAACATGCCTAGGTGTGCTCCTCTTAGGATTAATCCTGTATGGGACTCTGGGCCCATCTTTATCCACATGTTGTTTAACCAAACTGTGCGTGTGTGTTTGTAGTTTACAGCTTTAAGTAATTCCTATTTAAATGCAAAACAGAAATTGTTTAAAAATCCTCAAGTGTAATATTTGGAAAATAGTGGGGGTTTTCCCATTTCCAAAGAATGATTTGCAGTAATTGTGCTTTCGAATGAAATTTGCATTCTCTCTCTATTGATATTGTATTCAATGTATAAGACAATGAAAATGTTACAACATGAATCACCGTAACTGATCAGAATACCAAAAAGTAAAAAGACCATAGAATCATAGCATTTTAAAAAATTAGCCCCTTTTTAGCTGAGAGAAAACTGAGGCAGAGAGCTACACCACACTGCGGTAGCACAGCCAGCAAAGGGTAGACCAGTCAAGCGCTGTCTGGGCCTGCAGTCTCCACTTCTTTTGCGTAAGGTACACCACCCAGAGGGCGTTATTTAGTAAGTGGGGGAACTGGGCTGGTATCCAGATACCTCCATTCCCAGACAGATAGAGTAGAGTATTCTGGGATATTTAGCACTGTTATTTGGGATGCCAGAGGTTGTCATGTCTGCTCCCTTACTATTCTGGAAATGCTAGTGTCTTAATGCCTTTCTTTTCTACTATCCATAGCCTCTGTAACCTGTCTTTGTACCCACACACACACACACACAGAAGTCCCAATAAAAAGCTTCCTGAAGATGCCCACACCACATTAGAGTCTGTCGAACTTCAGAAAAATTACAGACAACTCCTTATATACACTCATTAATTCCATTTTCCTAAGGTCCCTGAAGCCTCTGAGGTGGACTCACTCATTCCCATTTTACAGGTGAAGGAAGGCCATTTGCATTGTGCCAGCCAGTGACTGCACATCAGGGTCCAACAGCTGCAGGCCCCTAGTGCCATGTGGCACGGGAACCCAGCCTAGGCTCCGGCTAAGACCATCACCCACCTTCCCCTGCCCAGGGGCCAGAGTCCCTGAGCACTCCTCTGTGGATGGTTCCTTGAAAATGACACGCCTTTTCCCCCTTCTCTTTACAAAGTGCATTTTCACAGCTTTTTTTTGTGCTATTAGTTGATGACTCTTCTCTGGCTACTCCATGTGACCGCATGACTTGCCCCACAGGCAGCCATCTGTTGTTCTCCTGCAACCAATGAAGTGAGTTCAGGTGCCTTATCAGCATCTGTCTGGAACAAGAGAGAAGCAGACTTGGAAACAAGTGATGGCGGCGATCCACGGACAGCCCTGCACGTGGACAGTTCAGGCCACTTTCTCCCCTGTGAGCAGGCATGACTTCAGCATCCACTTCCAAAACCAGGGCTCAGCACACTTCCGCTGTGATATGGATACATCCCCTCAGAGCAAACTTCAGTTCTTAAATGAACAGGAAATGTATGCTTGTACAAAGCCATTTCAAAAAAAAAAAAAACCCAAAAAGGAGCCTTTTATTCCTTTTCATTGAACAAGTTACACCATCTAACCTTCAGAATGGAACATCTGCAAGCATTTGAGTAAAGGGAGAGGGAGATGTTACAAATGCCTCAGTTTCTTGGCAACGTTGAAGTCCAGGTATTCATCCAGAAAGCTGTTGGCAATCCCCACAGCGCCTAGGATGGTCAACAAGGCCAAAACCCCCAGACTCAACCGGAAACCAGTGATCCTGTGGGTGGATATAAGAGATGAGAGAGAGGGGTGATAAATATAACCTGGGCTAAATTCATAGCTGGGGAGCCTGGCGCAGACCTCGCGTGTCTATAGACACTGCCCAGAATTTCCATGTTTTTTGCCATTTGAAAAATTTGGTTCATCACATAAATTAAAGGCAATGCCTAGCCCCAGAGTTCAGGTGGCTCCTTTGAACATTCAAAGGACTAACAAGGTTAGGTGGGATTATTTCCCTTGGTGTACTTGCAGGAGACAATACAAAATCTTTGAAGAATTTAAACTGTGGTGGGCAAAGAGTGCAGTCAGTACAATTTCCTGTCTCACACCTAATTGTGCATGGCCTGAGGCAACATCGATCACTTTTGCCATCACAGCCATCAATGATGCTAATTCTGACTCCATCCTGCTACTTTTTGCCTAAACACCCAATTCTTGGGTTCTCCTTACCTTTTTTTAGCATCTTCTGAATATCCCCAGAAATACTGGTAACGAGCATATACGTACACCAGACCCAAACAAGTCGCAAAAACTAAGAAGGACAAAATAGAGAAGATACAGAATGTTATGGCAGCCTCTCAAACCTAGTGTGAAAACTGAGAAAATACTCACAAAATATGTATCTGACAAAAGACTTGTACGTAAAATATGTAGAGAACTCTGACAATTCAATAATGAAAGGAAAACAACTTGGTTTTTTGATTAAATGGGCCAAACCTTTGAATAGAAAACTCACCCAATAGGCACATGAAAAATTTTCAACATCTTTCCAGCAGCAAACTGCGACTTAAAACGACGAGATGATACCACTTCCCACCCCCCAGAATGGCTAAATTTTAAAAAAGACTAACAACATAAAATGTTGGTGATGCTGGAAACCTCTAATGGTGGTAGGAATGCAAAATGGTACACAGCCAATTTAGGAAAAGGTCTGGTAGTTTCTTAGAAAACTAAACATACTTTTTGACCCAGCAATTTATTCTTGCATATTTACCCAAGAGGACAAAAAAAGCACATGTCAAAAAAACTCGCACAGAATGTTCACTGCAGCTTTATTCCTAATAGCTAAACACTGCAAACAGCCTGGAAATGTATCCCCAAGAGAATGGCCCAACCGTGAACACCATACAATGGACCACCACCGGCAATGAAAAGAGACAACTGAGGACAGCACCGCGAATCTCAAAAACATCTGGCTGAGTGAATGAAGCGCTGTACAAGGGGTACCTGCTGAATGGGCAAAAACTAAACTAAGATGAAAAAAAATTAGAGCATTGTTTGCCTCTGAAAGGGGCTGGGAAGGACCTGAGGAAAACTTTGAGTGGAGGTCATGTTCCATGTCTTGATAGGGATTTGAATGACACAGGTGTACATATTGTCAAAACTCAGATGGTCCACTTAAGATCTGTGCATTTTGCTAGATACAGGTTTTACCTAAAAGAAGTGTAAAATGTGGTGTGATGTTCTGCCACCCTGTCCAGTGAAAAATCTCAGGATCTTCCCTATGCTAGGGACCTCTTCTCTTCCTCAGCACTTCACGGATGCACACTGCCATCTTGTAAACACCTGAAGCCTGTCTGTGGGATTCCAATATGCTGGATAAAATTAAATTCATTGTTTTATTAGGTCAAACTTTTTTTTGTTTCTACTATATACCAGGTATTCCAAGGATTGGGATTAGCAGTGAAAAGATACAAGCTCCCTGCCCTTATGGGGTTATTAGCAAAGACAGGGGAAAATGAGAAGAAAAGTACAGACTTGAGCATGCTGGGAAGGGAACGAATGGGGATGGACAGTGGGAACTGGAGGAGGCCACCTTTAGGAAGGGGTCAGCGAAGGCCCCTCCCAGGGGATGATGTTTGTGCCAGGCCCTAAAGGATGAGAACAGGGGGCCGAGCAAAGATGTGGAGGAGAAGGGTGGCAGGGCCCCTGAGGAAGCAGTTCGGAAACCTTGTCTGATCAGTTACTCCCACAAAGCCACTGAGAGCCGTTCAAGGCAGAACCGAACGGGCAACCTCCTCTGGATGAGAAAGAATCAAAATTAGGACAAGATACCCAAGAAATCCTTTCAGGATTTCCTGACAGGTGGCTGGTCTCATTCTGCCCATTACAGTGAGATCCAGAGGGTCAGATGGCTGAGGCTGAGTCCCATTATCAAAGGGCACTTTTCTGATTAGTTGTGAACGTGGTCTTACCTGACAAGGAACTACTGCCTTCATTTTTGCCCTTAAAGGATACAAATGTGAGCTGGAATAAAGTTAAGTCATTCTTGGAAAGACATTGTATCTGAAATTCCTCAGTCAAAAGTAAAAATTACAAGAAGGAAGTGATAGGGTTGCCTTTGAAAGCAGCTGGATTTTGGTTGATTCAAATCTTATCAATCAAGTGTCAAACCCAAATGAGGCCATGAGAGTTATCAAAGTAAAGGATTAAATTTCTCCAAATAAGGCAGCTGGTGCTGGTCTGACCTCCTGTGAGAGCGACGAGTAGAGTCTGGGTGAAGCCCTCAGCCCCCAAGGATACCCCGTTCAAATAAAGTGGGTGGGTATTCACAGAGTTGCTACATCCATCAGTCACACTACATTCTTTGGGTTTTAGGGGTCAAATACCTAGAAACCCTACTGTGTACTTGAAAGCTAATTTTCTCCGACACTGGTAAAGCTGTGCGTATTACTTAACCTCTCTGTACTTCAGTTTCCTCACCTGTAAAATAGGAATTAATTATAGAACCTACCTCATAGGAAGGTTTTTAATCCTATAAAGCCAAACATGAGACAATATACGTATGACGCTTAAATAGTACCTACAACATAGGACTCAATAAATATTAGGTATAATAATTAGGGTGAATTAATTCTGTTCTTACAGATAAACTGGAATTCAGAGTATTAGACTGAAGACAAGCACATGTCATTCTCATTCTGGAGTCCGCAAAGTACAGTTTGTTCCGATTTTTTAATCCAATCACTGAGATAAACTGGAATGAAGCCTGAGTTAGGTCATGTGCAGCTCACTGCTCTTTGATACATACAGGCAGTGCTTATGTTGTTTAAAGCAATTTCCAGGATCGGTAGATGTGCAGCTGCATACCTGCTGCTTCACATGGTAAGAACTGTAGTCGTCATTACAACAGAGTTGACTGTATTTTAAACTTACCTTGGTTGAAATACAACCCAGCCATCCACAATGTAATCATGAATACTGGGTAAAACTCCACACAGTTTTGTCTACAGGAAAAAGAGATGTGGGTTATTTTATGAGAAAACTATACACCAAAGCAGTGAGATTTCATCTAGAGGTAAATGCCCAGTCTCTTCTTACAAAAATATAAGAATTAACTTCAAGAGCTTAAATGTCCTTACAGGTAAAAATGAGTCTTTCAAGGTGGGACTCCAACACTGTTTAAACTTCAGAGAAGGGCCAAGAATCACTCTCCTACATGTAAGTTGCCAGTAGAATGAATCGTAGCTATTTTCCAAAAGACAGGCCTCGAGATGATCCTGATCCTGAGCCTAGAGATCATCTGTATCTTACCTAAGTAACCCAGAAAATAAGTCAATTCACATTAAATGGATTTCTTCCCCAGAATTCCCTCACTTCTATTGCCTTCCATTTGTGTTACTCAGCACATTAAAAATGGTTTTTAAATAATTTCTTTAAAACCTCCTGAAATAAATTAATGAGCATATTTCATTCCCATTTTACGGAAGAAAAAAACTAAAGACTGAGAACCCAAACTGACTGATGCCTCACAGAGAATCATAAGTAGACTGTGTCATCTCCAGATTCCAAAGCTCTGTCCTAATGTCAAATCAAATTGCTTCTATTCATAGAAGACTTGAATGGAAAATTTGATACTATTTTAAGCAGAAGGGAATAGTTCTCTGGGAACTATAATTAATTTATCTGCACCTAGCATAAGGAAAAAAGATGAATTCTATTCATCTTCCTTCCTGTGCTATGCCCCTAAGTGATCTTGGTTAGGTTGGCTGAGCCCTTCGCTAACAAAATCACAACCAGAAAAAAACTTTAATGAGGTCCTGAGCTGATCCTGCTGGAAGAGTCATGGGATTAGAAATGATCCTACCTCCTTCCTGAAGCCTTAAAGCTTGATTACTTAAGGTTATGAGGCAACTGACCCAGAAATAGTTGATTCTGGTTCTTGAAGACAGTCTTCTAACCCAGGTCACCATGAGTGATTCTTCTTTTCATAACGGAAAAAAAGTGTTTTGTTTCAGTTGTTTGGTTTTGTTTTTGTGACCAAGATGGTAACATGGGAGGCTTCTGAACTTCCTTCCTCTCACAGATGCACTGGAATTCAGATACACACAGAGTAATTCCCTCTGAAAGATCCCCAGAAACCAGCTAAATGATTCCCACACACCAGGCAAATGAGAAAACAGCCACACTGGAACAAGTAGGAAAGGCTGAGCCCCACCTTCCCATAAACAGCATGCCCAGCACAGCACCCTACATTCAGGGGGAAACCCTCAACCCCCAGCTTCTCCCTGAGGAGCAAAGGGTTTGGACTATATGTCTAACACCTCGACTTTTAAGACTCCCATCTGAGGGCTGGGTCCCCTTGACTAGTTCTACAAGCCAAGAGGGCCTGCATCCCTGAGACCCATAGGACCTCAGCAAACAAAGCAGCAGTTCCTAACAGAGCAGGTGAGCACTGACTACAGCTACCTCTCCGGAGCTTAGTGCCGAGGGAGCAGGCAAAACCACCCGTCTCCAGTCTTTATAACAGGTCTGACTCCATACTTTACAAGCTGATGCCTGAGGGCCCAGCTTCTAGTTTAGCATGTATCTAGGAGCTCGCTGAGATCCCCTCTGGATCCAGGGGAGCTGATGGGGGCACTTCTCCTGCCTACTCCCTTTAGTTTGCTCCAACGATAAAACCAGATTGCCAGCATCTCTGAAAGGAGTTTATACACACATCTGGCACCCAGCTTTTGCAGCTGCTCTCCAAGGGACAGGCCTCCAAATCACCTAGCTCTGATAGCCAGTGAGGCTTGCACAAGTCCCACAGAACCATAGTAAACAAAAAAGCAGTGACCTTCTGACCTTGCAAGCCAGAAGGGAGTGGGAAGATATATTCAAAGTGCTGAAAGAAAAAAACAGCCAACTAAGAATACTCTACCCTGCAAAGCTGTCCTTCAAAACTGAAGGGACGAGAAGGAATTTTACAAACAAAAGCTGAAGAAATTCATCACCACTAGACCTGCCTTCTAAGAAATGTTAAAGGGAGGTCTTCAAGTTAAAATGGAAGGATGCTAATTACTGACATGAAAATATATGAACGTATAAAACTCACTGGTAAAGGTAAATATATAATTAAATTCAGAATACTCTAATATTGCAGTGATGATGGGCAAAACACTTATATTCTCTAAAGGTTAAAAGACAAGAGTATTAAAACTACAATAATTTGTTAATGGATATACAATATTAAAAATATAAATTTGTGACATCAAAAACATAAAATTAGGAAGGAGTATAAAAATGTAGAGCTTTTGAATACTTCCAAGTTAGATTGCTATATTGCTATCTGCTCAAGATAAACTGTTAAAAATATAGGATGTTTTATGTAAGCTTCATGGTAACCACAAATAGAGTCAGAAACAAACACATATATGGTCAATTCGTTTTAACAAAAGAGCCAAGGACATAGAATGGGGAAAGCATAGTCTCTTCAGTAAATGATGCTGAGAACACTGGCCAGCCACATGCAAAAGAATGAAACTGTACCCCTGTCTTATACCATACACAAAAATCAACTCAAAATAGATTAAAGATTTGAACCTAAAGACGAACCCATAAAACTCATAGAAGAAGACATAGGGGAAAAGATCCTTGACATTGGTCTTGGCAATGATTTTTTTAATTTGACACTAAAAGCAGAGGCAATAAAACCAAAAATAAGTAAGATCACATCAAATGAAAAAGCTTTTGCACAACAAAGGAAACCACTAACAAAACAAAAAGGCAACCTATGGGATGGAAAAAAAAATTTTGCAAACTACATATTCAATAAGGGGTTAATATCCAAAATATACAAAGAACACATAACGCAACAGAAAAGAAAACCAAATAATCCAATTTAAAAATGAGCAAAGAACTTGAATAGACATTTTTCCAAAGACATAAATGATCAAGGTACATGAAAAGGTGCTCAACATCACTAATCACCAGGGAAATGCAAATCGAAAACACAGAGGTATCATCTCACACCTATGAGAATGACTATTATCAAAAAGACAAGAAAAAGCAACTGGCAAGCAAGTGCACTCCTGGGTATATATCCAAAGGAAACAAAATCACTATCTTTAAGAGACACCTATACTCTCATCTTGACTATAGTGTTATTCACAGTAGTCAAGATATGGAAATAAGCTAAGTGTTTGAAAGTGGTTGAATGGATAAAGAAAACATCATACACATAAACATACAATGGAATATTATTTAGCCTTTAAAAGGAAGGAAATCTTGCCATTTGTGACCACATGGATGAACCACGAGAGCATTATGCTAAGTGAAATAAGCCAGGCAGAGAAAAACAAATACTGCATGGTATCACCTATATGGGGAATCTTTAAAAAAAAAAAAAAGGTAAACTCACAGAAACAGAGTAGATTGGTGGTTGTCGGGGCAGGGGGTGAGCAAAATCAAAACAGGCTAGTAAAAGGGTATAAACTTTCAGTTATTAGATGAGTAAGGTCTGAGGATCTAATATATAACATGATGACTATAGTTAATAACATTTTGTTGTATGATTGAAATCTGCTAAGAGTAGAACTTAAGTATTCTCACACAAAAAAAGTAAACATGAGAAGGGTTAAATATGTAAGGATGTAATGGATGCATTAATTACCTCAGTGGGGGAAATCCATTCACAAATTACATGTATATCAAAACATGTTGTACACTTTATATATATGACAATTTTTCAATTATATGTCAATCTGAAAAAAATCTCTAACTTAAAAAAAAAAGAAAAACATCATTACAGACTGTAGTTCTTTCCTCATTCTCCATAAATCTACAGGAAATTATGGATGATCAGTTCAACCTTATTAGTTTATGACTCAACTACATGAGAAAAAAACCTCCCTGATAGTAATTTAACCATGTCTTAAAACTGGGTAAGAAAACTGTATAGTTAACAGCATAACTCACTCAATGTGCATAAAAGACCATGGCTGGTGCAGAGTCAGAAACAAGTGGACATTTCTAACCCTGTGCCAGCAATGACGAACATAAACTTACCCACGCTGCTCTCCAAGAAGAGCCAGGAGAGCGATCATCAGACCCCTGGAAAATCAGAAGTGCAGAATACGAATGCCAAGTGCTTTTTCTATTTTTTTTTAACTGTTTGTCTTTAAGGCCTGAAAGGCCATAATGACCCAAGGAAGGTCATGACATTGATATCCTCACAAACCATAGCCACAAATTTCTTGTACTCAGGGAAGTAACCAAGATTCGTCTTTCTGCTGTTTTCTGTCATTGGCATCATTTTGCTTCTGATGATTGCCTTTTTACTAATGTCTTTTAAAGTTTGTAAGTTGCTATGGCAGGTTAAGTGAAAAGACACTTTATAAATGTGAATGGTCAGAATAATTACAGCTATGTTAAAAACAACATTTTCTTTTCCTCAGCTAAATCCATAGACCCACTTTCCATGAAGTAAAAGAGATTAAGAGCAGAAGAATGCTCTATTTTTCACACTCATTGGAGTTTTATATGATCCTTTTTGAAAACAAAACACAGTTGTCCCATCTTGTATCTACTATTGTAAAACACCTTAAATTATTCCAAATTTAAGGGTTAAGTTTTTCCACAACAGGACTCAAAATTAGCCATGATGAGATTCTAAAAAGTCACCTTCAAAACCAGTCCATTTTATTTTTCATAAAAGTCTAACTATTTAGAAGGTTTTATTCCCCACTGCAGTTCTAGTGGCTTTGAGTAGGTGTGTGGGACAGAGAGATATTATATAAAAGCATCCCAGCCAGGCCCAACAGGGGCTGGGATCTGCGGCCCCTGTGTGTGTCTGCCCCACACGGTGAGATGCACGTGCACTTTTGTGTGTCTCATCTGCAAAAGCGGAATGAGGCCTCTGGGGCAAGAAAGAATGAGGCAATCAGAAAGAGGGATGTTCAGGGGTCTTTCTCCTTGCCCGAGCCAGGGAACCAGTTTCACACCCCAGTGGAGACCAGGCTGAAAG